AACACGCGTTGCCGAGTAGTCTATTCCTATAAGAAAGACGAAGTCTACGTATTCAATATCGTAGCACTAAGAGAGTTAACTCTCTTAGCACAATGTTATATGCAGAACAGACTTAAACAATCTGCATGATAGCTCGACTCGAATAGTAGTCGGTAAAGGCACGTCAAATCCGTTAAAGGCTGAGGGTTTGCCAAAAATCCTAAGTCTACGTCTAACACATGTCGCCGGGTAGTCTATTCCCATGAGAAAGACAAAGTCTACGTATTCAATATTGTAGCACTAAGGGAGTTAACTCTCTTAGCATAACGTTACATGCGGAACGAACTTAAATAATCTGCATGCTAGCCCGACTCAAACGGTAGTCGGTAAAGACTCATCAAATCCGTTGAGGGCTGAGGGTTTGCTAAAAATCCTATAAAATGTGAGAGTCATTGACGCACCAGCTTCATTAGTTGGTCTAATGGCTTGAGGATCCAATAACTTCAGAATAAGAGCCATACATGCAGATGACCGCCGCGCTCCAATGCATTAAGAGCTTAAACTATGTAGACTCCAGCAAACGTACAAGTATAAACTGTGTTAACGACGGTCAACGTGTTACAACAAAGGTTAACGCCGGTCAAGGCGCTACGGTAAAGGTCGATGCCGGTTAACGCATTAGCAATTTTGCCAAAATAAGGCAAATGATGACTCAAGGAAGTTCAATCACATTCAGATATGAATTTCTGACGAAGATAATCAGTTGAAAGTCAACTCAATGACACGAGCTAAATTCAGAAACTTACGCATCAACTTCAGTTCAAGATTTCGACAACGGCCAAACGATAAACGCAGCGCCGGAAGAACTTCATCTATTCGACAAAGCACTGAATAGACTTTAGGTTGAAAAAGTTAAGAATTGAAGCAGTTCACAGGTACCTCTATGAGATTGAGGAAAGGGCATATCTTATCCAAAGCATTCCAGACTCTTCTATAAAAGAATGAGTTTGAAATACTTTGGAGGGGGTATTTGTAAGCGTCTAAAAATGCCTGTAGATGTCCGCACGTAGCCCGAGACAAAGAGAAGACGATGAACGTTATCATCCGAGTTAAGAAGGATTATCCGAGTGATCCGCGCTTGTCGGTCAGCTCCAAGAGAGTGCGTGCGTCAGTCAGCTCCAAGTGACCGTTGTGCATGTCAGTCAGCTTAAGCACGTCAGTCAACTCAAAGTATTCAACACGCTCGTCGGTTAGATCCAAAGTACCTGACGTGCTTGTCGGTCAGTTCCAAGCGCCTTAAAGAAGCTAACGAATGTATGAAGTGAGTTAACGACGCGTGCAAGTCAACAAGACGATCAAATACGCAAAACAGCAGAAAATACCAAGTCCCGGAAAATCAAAAAAACCAAAAAGTTCAGCAAATGCCAAACTTCTCGCGCAAGCGCAGGTCGGTTGCAACTGACCCGCGCCCGCGCGGGTCGGATGCAGCCGACCCGTGCCCCCCGCGGGTCACCAAAAACGTGTTTTCGATGGTTTTGAGCGGTTTTCTTGGGATTTATCTGTTCCAGGGGTTCCCAAGCCGACCCACGCCCCCCGCGGGTCACCAATGCCCGTCGCGCTATTTTGATCCCCAAACGTGTTTTCGATGGTTTTGAGCGGTTTTCTTGGGATTTATCTGTTCCAGGGGTTCCCAACTAACTTGATATCATTCACAAACATGGTTAGACTGTTATTGACTAAAGATAAGGCCAAATCGCTCATTCTTATCCAAATACCCCCAACCGAAGCCTATAAATACAGGCATATGGGCTCATTTCACAGGGGCGGAATGTTATCAAGACGAGGAGGTGCTGCCGGATTGAGGAGTCAAAGGAGCACGAATTTCAGAGGAGGCTAACTGATCTTGGTAAAGTTCTTCAGCATAAAGAGGGAGAGTTCGAGAGATCTGAAGCCCTGTCCGTCCGTTCCTCGAGATTAGGCTTGTTCTTAATCTCGAGAAGAGCTGCTGATTTTGCTTGATCGATTTTAGAGTTTAAAGCGAATACTTCCTTAGTGAAGTAGGAGCTCTGTCAATTTTTTGTCAACCGGATCTGATTCATGGCGGTCTACGGATATTGACGTCCCTGACACAGGCAAAGATCCCACAAAAGCAATAGACGATAAACACCTGTTGCGTGTTGTTTGAAAGAGAGTTGTAATCTATTTTCATTGTATTGAAAGTCTTATAAAAAGGCTATCTTTTTTTTTGAATTTATTGTAATGCCCGAAGTTGTAATAAATTCTGCAATGAAAACAATTTTCTACCCAAATACGATTGTGTATGAGGCTGAGAAGTGCCGGCTCCATCAGCATGCGCCGTGCTATGAGAAGTGTCGACTCTATCGTCAGGCACCATCTTTTGATCTGTCCTACGTCATTGAGTGTACACATGACCCAGTTAGCGTGACCTGTCCTGACGGCCTTCAAACTCGTCGACATGATTTTTATGGAACACGCTTGCTATTCTCCGTCTGATCCTGTTGAAGATCCCTAAGACCGTCAGATCTTGAATGTCATTGATATGCTCATTTATATTAGCCTCAATATCATCAAAAACATTGATATTCAAGTTAATCAATATATAACGTTTTAATATAGTTTAAAAACTTACATAATCTTTCTCGATCATGGCACTAGGGATGTAACTATCGATCGGTGGGCGTGGTACGTATCCAGCTGCTGGCTGTGGGTCGCGTCCTATCCATCTGCGTGTGATATTCTAATACCAATGCATGTACTCGGTATAACCCTCAGATGGAATTCTCTCATTCTGTATGAAATTCTACCTATTATTCCACCTGTCTATATAGGCCGCACGGAATACGGCCCAGTCTGTACGATACGATGTCATCCGTCGCCTACGATCGATTTGCTCAACAGGATCCGATACATGCTGAGAGAGAAGAAATTGTCGCAACACACGATCTGGGATATGCATCTCTACAATCTCCCAAGGTATCAACGGGACTCTGGCTCTCCACAAAGCAGCGCTATCTTGACAGATAGGTGCAAGACCATCAGATGATTATCAGATAACAACTAATAACTTTCAAAATATCAGAAAACCCCTCAAATTTAGGGGTTATTAATTATAAAACTCCCTTTAAAATATATTTTATAGAAAAAACCGAATAGTGTGAAATTTTCACATGGGTTGTAAATTTATGCAAGCAGATAGTTTTTCCAGTGAAAATTTTTTGGTTCAAACTTTTAGGGAGGGTTTTCTAATGAAGTCTTCGAAAGTTAAAGAGACTTTCTAAGAGCCTCTAAGAAACAGGGAGAAAAATCATAGAATCATAAACTCGGAGTTCAGAATAATTACCAACTCACCGCAATCCAAGATATTTATTATCAGTCAGACTCACAGAACTTAATTATGAGAAAATTTGAGAAACTTGGTAGTAATGTGGACAAATCTGATCCACACATCATTTATTGAGTAAATAAATAAAGAGGTTGAGTAGATTTTGAAAAAAACTCTCAATCTTAAAAAAGATGAGCTGGCCAAACACAAACCCACGTTTCTCTCGCTCCTCTCTCCCCCTGTCATTCATTTCTCAATCTCCTTCTCCCCCTCCTCTCCCCCCCCTCCCAAGAGCATCTCCAATCGGCCTATAAAAAGGTAAAATTTTCAAATTTGGAGAGTGGAACCTCTCCAACCACTCTCCAAATTTGGAGATCTCCAAATTTCACCCTCCAAATTTGGAGGGTGAATAGAAAATTTGGAGAGTCTCTCCATAATACTATTTATTTTTTATTAATTACAACTTTATCATTTTTAACTATTTAATTTCTTAAAAATTACCACTTTGCCATCATTCTTAGTACTTTAAATTAGATGTTTAATTTCAAATAAATATAGTTAAACAAATTATTAATCTAATAGTTGAAATCATTATATATTTGGAAAGGTCTCGTTGACATCTTTAAAATGAAACTAAGATTAATTTATTTTAGTATTACAATAAAATTATTAGTTTTTAAATTAAATAAATAAGTATCAGACATGAAATTTTTAAATACGAGGATCTATTTTATGTTTGAGGTTTATGTTTGCGACCTATGATATGTTGTATTAGAGGTTCATATTTGCTTTCGTGTTCTATCGATGTATGCTTTGTCACTGTTATTTCAAATTTTCTTTTTTAATATATTGTATTGAATTATTAATATTGAGTTTATTTTAAAGCTCTCATCGACACCTTTATAATGTTATAATTTTTTTTTCCAAATAAATTATTAAAAATAAAACTATTAATGTAAACTATATCTAACATTATTAATTTATATGGTTTTTTTGAAAAAAAATAAATAAAAAGGAAAACATTTGGAGAGTGTGGATTGGAGCAACTCTCTAAATTCCACTCTCCAAATTAGAATATTCTTAGAATATTCCAATTTGGAGGGTGAAATTTGGAGGGCATAGTTGGATATGCTCTTAGCCAAAGCCAAACCCACCTCCTAATCTCTCTCTTCCACAACCGCTGCCACCACAACCCTCATGGCTGGGAGTCGACCTTGGTGGTCGGTTAAACTGCGCGCGTTCGGGGCGCCTCCGTGAGCCGCGACCCTACCACCTATCCTTCTGAGCACCCGCCCCTCTCCCTCTTCCAGCCCCTCCTCTCCCAGTCGAACCTATGCCGAAGACATGATTCTCCAAACCTGCACGCGCCTCTCCCTTCGCAACTCTTACACCTCTCCTTTTCAACCCCCCTCCGCGCCGGCTCTCGCCTTCCAAACCGTAGCGGGCGTCGGCCGAACAAGAGCGGCGCTTCTGGTCTCTATCCTCGAGGGCGTCGGGGGAGCTACGGGTTTGGCAAGGGTGAGGCGGGCGCATGGTTGGAAGGCGAGATGTGGCGGCCGTGGGGTTGTAAGGTCGTGACTGCGAAGGCGGTGTTGGAAGGGAGAGCAGTTAAAATAAGAGCAAGTATATGAAGAAAATGGCGATAAATAAAGCTATTATCTTTTTTTTTTATCTCAGATCTCTAATCCAACAAACAGAGGAAAGCATAGATGAGAAACAAAAAAAGTTGTGATTAAATGAAAGCAAACACAGTATAAATCCCTCGAATTACTTGAAATACCAACTTCATCCACTATAAAGTTACCAATTAAAATAATAGGCGACTCCTTCCTCCTCTACACCGATAATCGCATCTGCATCACAATCCAATCAAATGACTCAACTTTGTAACGAGCTGAAAACTAATCCGTATTGCATCACTACTCAGGCAATCTCCCCACTTATTTGATGCGCAAATTATCTTAACTAATAAAATAAAAAAAATTCAAATCTCTCCACTTTTTTAAAAAATTACCTGCGATCTTAATTGTTTGTCATCTTCTTCAAATTAGGAATTTCTTGCACGAGTGGGGATTCCATGAAACTATGAGGAATCAAATTTAAAGATAAATGAGAAGGACTGCAGAAAAACCCAGATATAAGGAGAGTAACTTTAAAGAGTAGGTGTGAGTAAGTCGCACGACATAATTTGCGTCAAATATCTTCCATTTCGACATAATTAACACCGGAGTCACCAAAATTGAGGTCAAAATTTTAAAAAAAGCAAATCAAGAGATCTCACCACAATCCAATGTCTCCCCCTGGCAGTGCCGGCAACAATTAGATACGGCCGTGATCTCGCCGTAACAGCCCGAGTCGAAGGGAGAACTGATGGCGTCGAAAGGAGATCTTCCATGAGCTTGGCGATGAGAAAAGGACGAGGATAATTGGATGACAGACATAAAAAAAGGAGACATTTATAATCTAGGCTCTTGAAAATGATAGCGTCCGAAAATGGGCATTTGAAACTGCGGGGCTTTGTCAGGCCCGCGGGGCAATGAAAGTAGCAAAACTAATATAGTTTAGATATTAACCAAGTTAGTTGAGAGTAGCCAAACACAACCAAAAGTAGTTGGTATATATAATTGTCAGGCACTGGGGTATAATACATCACAGTTGAATAACAAATCCCTTTTGTAGTCACGAAATCTAAAATTTAGCTAGTTTATAATCAGATTCAAATGATAGAACTACAGGCACAAGAGAAGAATAAATAGCGATGGCTTTCTTGATTAGAATTGAATAGAGCAAATGATAAGTTGATAACATTTACCATAAATTTCTCTGGTTGTCATATGTTAGAAATGTCTTATTTGCAGCAATCCACACCAGGAAGGAATATTTGGGTAGATTAAGCTTAGACCACACGGCGGCATTGCTAGGAAAATCTTGAAGATTGAGGAAGAGAAGCATGATAAACAAGGGAAATTTTGAATCACCCGCTAACAGTACATTCATCTAAAACCTGAAAAACATGTTCAAGTGAGTTCCATTTAGATAGGGCCAAATCCCTAACTTTCAATAACTGCTGTCATAACTAAGAGGGTTCTGCTTTAACTGAAACCTCTCACACAGAGCAACTCTGCAAACAGTTGCCATGTATTCACTAAGGAGCTGTTTGGTTCACTTTAAAACCCCAAGGAAAACTTTTACTTGGCCTCCACGTGGGTTTTTCTCCTCCAAGTTAGATTTTTTGTTTCCGTAGTTTTTTTCCCCAGCTTTGTTTCGCTAGGGCTGAAGAGGGAAAAGAACTCATAAATCGCCTCCACGTCTACTTTTTCTCTCTCCCCTAATTCCTTCCCCAACCAAGTGAAATCAACAAAAAAACCCTGGTCACGTCAGATTTTTTCTTCCTCGTTGATTTCTTCAGTGAGCTAGAGTTACCTCCTTCGCACTGCTCCCACCAGAAACTCTCAGCTTTGTCCCTGTGTTCGAATAAATTGGGGGAGGGGGTTTGATCTTTGCCAACGTTGTTCAGATCTGAAATCCCGATGGTGGGAGACTTCGTCGGCGACGACGGCGTTCCCTACGCCGACCCCAACGGCCCCGGTCATATGCTGCACTATGTTCGACACCGTCTTCCACGGCTTCTCGGCCTCCCTGCCCCCTCCAGAGCGACGTGAATCTCATGAAACCCCTCCATCCTCGCCGTCTCCCACAGTTCGAGCAGGATCGTGGGGTTCTTAAAGTCGAGAGGTGGAGCTTTTCCTCTGGTTGTGTTCAGGTTTGATCTGATCTGATCCTTCGTTCTTCTTTCTTTTTTTTTTTTGGGGGGGGGGGGGGGGGTTTTTGTTTGATTTGGTTAAAATCGATGGGATTGGAGCTCAGATTAAGCTAAAATGATGGAATAGCTTGATTTTCAATTTTAGTAAGAATTTGATGATTAAATGTAGTTTTTTAAGGGTCAAAATCAGTTTAGCTACTGAAATTGAAGCTTGAGCTAATGATTATGGAGCAATTAGCTTATTTTTTAAATTATTGCTGTTGTTTTTATGAACATGGGTTACCCTAATTAGATTTTTTATGAGAAATGGGACAGATAATTTTTTCTCGCTCAATGAAATTAAACATTCAAAAACTAAAAGCTTTGTAATTTTATATGAAAACTTCTACAATAATTCTCCATTTCAGGAGACTATGATAGTTGCGATCTTGCCCAGTTTATATCAAGTCTTATTGATCTTTCTTTCTATTGAAATTCAACCTCATATGCCATTATTTTAGAAAGTGATAATTGATGTAAGAAATCAGGCTCATGGCTTGTTTACTTTGTATATGTTCATTATATCATTTGAATGTGTATTGATGCATTGTGTTTGTGAGAGTGTTTATGTTAGAGTGTTTCATTTGTTAATATTCGTTTGAAGTAGAGATATGAGGGGATGATAGCTTTCGTGCATCTGGTAGAGGAATTTTTGGATTTGAATGGGTATTGATGCATTGTGTTTGTACTGGTCTTTATGTTAGAGTGTTTCATTTGTTAATATTGATCTGAAGTGGAGATGTGAGGGGGTGATAGCTTGTGTCCATTTGTTCGTGTTCATTTGAAGTGGAGATAAAGGAATGATGGCTCCTGTGCACTCGGTGAAGGGATGTAGAATGTGAATTGGTATTGATGCATTGTGTCTGTGTAACACTCTTTATGTTGGATTGTTTCATTTGTTAGTATTTCATTTCAAGTGGATATGAGGGATGATGGCTTGTGTGCATTTGATAAAGGAGTTTAGGATTTGAATGGGTATTGTTGCATTGTGTTTGTTTCACTCTTTGTGTTAGTATTTCATCTAGTCTTCCTGAGTAACATGTGGCTTTTCTTCTAGTTGGAGGTATATGGACTTTGCATCTTGTGGGATAAGGAATTGATATATGATGATTCTTTCCCCGTGAGAAGCCTTACTAGGTTAGAACAATGATGCTAAAATCAGGTCAAATAATTATTTTTCTCTGGTTTGGTAGATAAAGATTTTGGTTTGCGTGTTTAGAAGCATTTCAGAGTACAAGTCATTGTGACGACAATTTTACACACTCCTAGAAGTTTTCGTCCATTTCAATACACTTGTTGCAATTTGCCAAGGAATTTATTTATGATTTTCTTTAAATGGACATTATTTAAACTTCAAGGAGATCTTACTTAATAGAAGTCTGAAAGGTTTAACCAGTTAAACACATGTGCAATGGTGAGCGTTTTTTCAGGTACATATTTCCCCCCTACAATTATTATGCAATACCTGTGATAGGTCAGCCTGTCAGATTGAAGATTAAATGGTCACATTCATTTGTGTCCATAATCAGCCAACATTAACTGACATCTTGTGGCAGAATAAGATAATCTATCTTTAACATGTGACCTAATTAATTGGTCCGGTAGCTAAATTTGTGCAAGTAAACTTATGCAGCTATGCTTTGATTTGGTTGTAACTGGTTCTAAGCAAGGAATTGACTTGCAGTATGTACAAACACCTTTGTGCCCAAATTCACTGCAGAAGGCAGACCTTAACAGAAGCCTGTCAAGGAACCAACAGTTGAATCTGAATGGCTTTATGCATGGCTCTCAAGGTCTCCAGACAGGGTCTGTTCAAGCAAATTTTCAAGGAGATGCTATGGTCTCTGATAGTAATAACTTAACACAGAGAAGCTCCTCTTCCTTTTTATCACAAACTTGTCTCTTGCATGATTTTCTCAAGTTCTATTTGTGTGTTTTTTATTTGTGGAGCTTGGTTAGGTGTTGTGGAGCCTGATTGTGTTGTGGAGCCTAATTGTGTTGTGCTTTTGTTCTCAGCCAGTTTTTGTGCATATATTGTTGATGCTATTCTGAGCCTGGTTGTGTTGTGGAGCCTGGTTATGTTTGTGCTTTTGTTGGTTGGTGTTGTTGGTTGGTTGGTTGGTTGGTTGGTTGGTGTTATTGGTTGGTGTTGTTGGTTAGCTGGTGGGTGTTTCCTGGTGTTCTTGAAACCTGGTTGTGTTCAAGTTCTGTTTTGGTTCATGTTTGGTTCATTGTTGGTGGCTGATGGGTGTTTCCTGGTTCATTTTCCTTCATCGGTTTAGGGGATTTCTGTTACCAAACCCTCTATGCATACCCCCAAATGCTATTTTAGTTTTGTGTAGGCCTGGTTGTTCTTGAATGTTGGTATTTGTTTTGCTTTCAGGCCAAGATATTGACGCTCATGTATTCAGGCAGATTTGTGTACATATTTTCAGTTTTGTGTTCAGGTTTTTGGTTGCTTTTTGTGCTCGTCGTCGAGCTCCCATAAATGTTTTTTATTACTATGCTGATTCAAGCTTGTTTAGCTCTATGTTGTTGGGTTTTTGGTTGCTTTTATGCTCGTTATCAAGCTCTCGTGGCTATTTTTTGTTACTATACTGATTCGAGCTTGTTTAGCTCTATGTTGTTGGGTTTGTTGTTACTATTTGTGCTCGTCGTCGAGCTCCCATGGCTGTTTTCAGGTACACAATTCATAGCAATTGATTCATGTTATTTTAAGTTTCGTATGATTTCATTAATACAAATAGAAACTTATAATGAATTCAGGATATTATTATTTATTCATGTTACATTCGCACTTTATATGATTAAGATTACCTCCCTGTAGGCTGTCTAAAAATCACAATAGATAGCTTATTCAAACAAGCTCCGACAACGGAGGTCACAATCAGACGACTTCCCAATCACTGCATCCGCAACTCCACAATCGCCACAAACACGACCTCACTTCTGAGATGATTGATCTTGATGGCTGTGACAACAGCATGGCTAATATCATAGCAACTATTAGAGATGCTGATGAGCAGTGGGACAATTTCAGAAATAAAAGGTTGGACTCAGTTGGTGAGTTGCTTGGTAGAGAGCTATGGGCGAATATTTATCTTTAAGACACTATGGATGTTGATTCCCGTCTAGCTCCTACAACGAAAGCTACAATCAAATAGCTTTCGGGTCGGTGATCGGAAGCAGCAAATAGAGGACTTTTCACATAGATCGAGAAGGGTTACAATTCAACGATACTTCCAACAACTGATGAAAACTCTATTCAGCAGTCTTTACAATCTACAGTGAAAGTTACAATCTGACGGCTTTCACACTCCCCAACAGCTAAAAGTCAGGATTACTGAACAACGGTCCTTGCAACGCTCTACAGAAGAAGTTACAAGTCAAATGGCTCCTTCTGAAACGCGGACGTCATCCCCGCGTCACCAATTTGGAAATGACGACGACCCTCGCGTCGACAATGCACAAGCCAAACGTGAGCGACCCTCGCGTTCAATGGTGTTCAACCAACAGCGACCCTCGCGTCGACAATGCACAAGCCAAACGTGAGCGACCCTCGCGTTCAATGGTGTTCAACCAACAGCGACCCTCGCGTCACCAAGTCACAAGCCAAACGAGCGGATATAGGAGTCAGTTACAATCTCCTATCCCCCTATAAAAGCTCAACAAACCCAACAGAATAGAGGGTTGGATCATCAGAATCTAAACCAGACGAGTTGGTTAAAGGGGCTGGCTCTTTAAAAACTAAGAGGTGAGGGATCGGATTTTTGATAATCAGATCAAGGGTTGGATTCTTCATCATCAAAACCACTCAGGTTTGGAGATTCGGCAACAACAGCAACGAAATCCTTGGAGATAGGATTTTTGAACCAACCTCAGAAAATCAAATCTGAGAGAATCCTTCAACAACAGAAAAACAGCTTGATTATTAACCGAATTTTCGGTTCCAACAACTCTATTCACAGAGTTCAAACTCGTTCAGAGTTCTTAAACTCATTCAGAGTTATTCATAAAACTTTCCACGAAAGTTCATCGTTCCCACGAGATAAAGACGGTCGGATCGTCAACGGAGAGCAAGTTCGACGCAATCAATCGAAGGAAGCACTCCATCGCTGCCAAGAAGAACCCAGTTTTAAACAAAGGGGAAAACCAAATTCGTTCTCCTCTCTTTTGTAATAAAGTTGTAACCGAGATCAAAGGAATCAAAATCACATTTTCTTTATTCTCTTCTTTGCAATTTTGCCTACATACAAAAGATGGCGACTCCGCTGGGGACTAGCTTTTCCGACGATGAAGTGGTGGCTCAGTCCGACGTCCACCTCATGGGAACGACTGTAGAAACTCTCGTCGTAGAGTTTGATCAAGCGAAATACGAGGAAGCCCTATCCTCTGGATCGCTTAGCCCCAAGGCTAAGCATGGTGTCCGCAAGATCTCCAAGGAGATCAATTCTGTTGTTGAAGAGCCGAAGAAAGCCCTCTCCTTCGGCCAGGAACTCAAACTGGCTCTGATGGCGGAAGATCCCACCTCCGCGTCAGCAAGACGTGCTTCAGGACACAAACGGCCTCTGGAGGAGACGAGTCCTGTAAACGTCAATGACGTTGCTGCAAAGGCTTTGAAACAAGCCAAGAAGAACGCCGCTCGCCGACGGAGAAGATTCATCCGACGAGCACACTTACGAGAAAGACGATTGTTGGCCCAACGCGAAGATCGCGTTTCTAAGGATCCAACCGAACCTGGCGTCCCCAAAGAAGAG